TGGTGATTTGGGCTACTCACACTCATGCTTTTCACTCATACACTAGTAGGTAGTGCACCGCTACTTTCATGGATGATCATTGATGCAATCTTGGTAATCTAGCTTACTCAAGTTCATGCTTTTCACTCACACACTAGTAGGGAGTGCACCGCTACTTTCGTGGATGATCTTTGATGCAATCTTGGTGATCTAGATACTCAAACTCTTGCTTTTCACTCACACACTAGTAGGTAGTGCACCGCAACTTCCATGAATGATCTTGGCTGCAATCTTGGTAATCTAGCTTACTCGAAACTCTTGCTTTTCACTCACATACTAGTATGGAGTGCACCGCTACTTCCATGGATGATCTTTGATGCAATCTTGGTAATCTAGCCTACTCAAGTTCATGCCTTTCACTCACACACTAGTAGGGAGTGCACCACTTCTTTCATGATGGCTTTTGGTTCAACCTTGGTGATTTTGCCTACTTAGATTTTTGATAGTAGGTGATGGTCCGGATCTTACTTAGATGATCTCTTCTCTATATGCATGTTCTTTCCATCAGTTCTAGCTTTTCATTGAGATGTTCATGCTCAAAGTGATGTTCCGGATCGTACTAGTTGATCTCTTCCCTATGTGCATGTGCTTTCCATTAGTTCTAGCCTCTCATTATCATGTTCATGCTTGGTGTGATGTTCCGGTTGATCTTTCCTCTACGTGCATGTGCTTTTCCTCTATGTGCATGTGCTTTTTTGCGAGTTCTAGCTTCTCATTGTCATGTCTATGTGTGTTGAGATGTTCCGGATCTTACTTAGTTGATCTCTTCTCTATGTGCGTGTGCTTTCTATTAGTTCTAGCCTCTCATTGTCATGTTCATGCTTGGTGTGATGTTCCGGTTGATCTTTCCTCTATGTGCATATGCTTTTCCACTAGTTCTAGCTTCACATTGTCATGTCCATGTGTGTTGTGATGTTCCGGATCTTACTTAGTTGATCTCTTCTCTATGTGCATGTGTTTTCCATTAGTTCTAGCCTCTCATTGTCATGTTCATGCTTGGTGTGATGTTCCGGATCTTACTTAGTTGATCTCTTCTCTATGTGCATGTGCTTT